GCTCGGGCACCCTCGCCTGCAGGGTCTCTTGGGCAGCAGCCAGAGAAGGTGCGAAGGGAGCAGGAGCAGAGCAGTGCGGCAGGCTCAGCCCTCTCCAGAGCCTGGGAATTGGCGATGAGGCGATGAAACGTGGAGGAGAGAAGAGCTGAACTCCTCCTCTGCATCTTGTGAGCCCCAGAGAGGGGACTCGGACCCCTCCCAGCTTGGCGAAGCTCTCCCACGCTACTGCCCGGCTCCTCTGCCCATGCCCTCTGGCTCAGCCATGCTGAAATCCTTTTGGCCACATTTTTCCCCTTTCAGCCCCAAACCACCCTCCTTCCAGCCACAGTCCAGCACCAATGTCCCTGCCCCCAGGTGTTCTACAAATCAGCAGAATCCGTGCCCCAAAGCACTGGCAGGGCCCAGGCAGCAGAGCAGGCAGCACTCACCCGGACAGACAGACAGATGTTCTCCTCTTCCTCTTCCTCTCCCAGTGCGTCCCACTGCCACCCAGTCACTACGGGCTGCTCCGAGTCCTGCAGCCTCTTATACTCCCCCGGCGGTCCCTCCCCTGGCATCTGATCTCACCCGCTGGGCTTTGGCTGGGGATGTGGGGTGTGTGTGTGTGTGTGTGCTCCGTGGGAGAGATAATTTCGGGAAGAATCCTATTAGTTTATTAATTGGGGAGACGCTTCATGAGTAAGAGTGGGCTATAAATACGGCTGCTGCTGGAGCCCTGTGAAAGCAGCTTACGGAGATTGGCAGTGCGGGCTTAGGAGCGAGGTGATGGTAATTGAGGTGGAAGCTTGGCTCCCGGTGGGCAGGGGAACAGATTCCCACGGGAGCTCTCCACAACTGCTCCCATGGCAAGCAGAGCTGGGCCAGCCCTGGGCACGAGGGTGGATGGAGATGACAGAGGGGAAGGAGGGACCTGCCGGGATTTATCCCTCCCTTACGCACTTTGCTGAACTGCTAACAGATGCAGCTTCTTGCACAGCCAACGTGCCCATCCAGCTGGCCACCAAGAGGTGACCTGCTGTGGTCCAGGGCACACGGGACACCCTTGCCACAGGGATGCTGATGTACAAGATGATGGGGCAAAGGCACATGCGAGGCTTGGAGCTGCAGAGGCAGCTCCCACACCAGGCTTCGCTCCACCCGAAGCAGCAGGGAAGGGCAGGCCACCCCTCGGTGGTGGGACACAGGCCTGCCACCGTCCCCCAGCACCACTGGGCAATGTGCTCAGCCCCGCATCCTTTCATAACGCTGTGGGTTGGTCTTGCCTGGCCCCATCAGTGCATCGTTCATTCAAGGTTTGCTGTTGCAAATAGAAAACTGTTGAAAGCACAGAGTGGACTTGCCTTGTGGCCCCAGGGAGAGAGAAGCTCTCCCTGCTACTGTCCTTCCTCGGCCGCTGCCGACGTGGCAGGATCCCCCTCCCACAGGGGTGGCTGCAGGATGCTCGCATGGATGCTGCCCCCAGGTTGGCCCTAGGGACAGGGCACAGACCCCAAACACAGCCCAGGGCAGCCTGCAGACTGCTCCAGCAAGGCCCCACTCATCTTCCTCACCTCCAGCATCCCTCAAGCCCTTGCTTGCTCCACCAGACCCTTTGCTTTGAGCACGCACTCGGTGCTGGCTCAGCCCTGAGAGCTGAGCACCGAGGTTGGGCTGTCCCTACTCGCCGTTGTGCCTCCATCCCAGAGCTGCCAGCAGCCTCCTCCCAGCACCCTGGATCAGCTCAACAACCTTCAGCACCTGGGTCCCAACCCCTCCCAAACACAGCCCACCTGTGCCCCTGGCCCAGTGGCCCACCACGAGCCACTGGGAGCCACCGTGGCCCACCAGCCCTGCCATCCCCACCAGCCCTGCTGCCCAGGGCTTTAGCTGTCAGCACACGTTGCCCGGGGCCGGGACTTGTGATCTCTTTAACTGCACACAGGAGAGCTGCTTAGTTTGCAGATTAGCGGGCGCTATTTCTGCCAAGGTCAGGGGGACACGTGAACTGTGACCTTCCTGCTGGCAGGTGGGAGAGGAGGAGGAGGAGGAGGAGGCAGCCCCACCTGGATGCTCGCTGCCCAGCCGGGGGGGGGACAATAGAGCAGCCACCCCCAGCGCCACGCCTGGGGCACCTAATCCCAAGCTCTGACTTTGTGGCCCTTCGTTAGGCTCTTCATAAAGCCTCTGAGACTGGCGTGGTGCACAAGGGCTGTGGCCGTAGGGTTTGCAGAGCCTGGTGAGGATGGAGAGCAGATTTCACTAAGGGTGGATTCAGCCAGGGAGAACTTACCCAGGTAGGGGGCAGGTATTTACCTCCCCCCAAAACCAGTGGTGAGACGGACAGACCACATCCCTTCCCTCACTCACGCCGTGCTCTGAACCAAGCGCTGGGGAAGGAAGCTGGGGGATGCAGTGCTGTGTTAAAAATAATAGGGAAATGAGAGAGGGCTTCTTCCTTTTTCCTGTTTAATGAATGGCCAAGGGTTCCTCTCATCTGCCTCGCCCCACCTGCCCCTCCAGGTCCATGCACTGCATGAGGCACAGCTCAGTCGGTCCCTTCCAGCGGGGCAGGACACCGGCGCAGGTGGGGCTGGTGGAGTGCATGGGGGCCCGGCTTCATCCCTGGCTCCTGACGGACAGTGCCCGGGGTCCCTGCCTCCCCGGGGATCGGCCACGGGGCTTCCCGTGTCCTCCTGCCTCGGCGCCCTCGCCTGCAGGGTCTGCCCTCCGAAGGGAGCCCAGGCGGAGCCGGAGCCACCCAGCAAGCTGGCACCGGTGAACCCACATTGCCTTCCAAAACAAAACCCGTCCTGGGTGCTGGCAGAGCTCCCCGGGTGCTGGCGCCAGTGCCTCTGGCAGTGTCCCGGCTCAGCCTCCGGCACTGCGCACCGCAGCCGCCTTACGTAAATGCCCGCAGCCGGTGCCGCTGATTTCTCAAAGCCCCTCAGAGCTCCGGGTCTTCCTCCCCTGATCCGGATTAAGCGGCGCAGACGGCATTAATCCGAAGCCAGGCGCCTCCGTGGCTGCAGGGAATTATTGCCATGCTGTTAAGTAACAGGAGGGAGCAGTGCTGGCGGCACGGGGGTCTCTGGCGGGACGGGGGTCTCCAGCAGGGTGGGGGTCTCCAGCAGGGTGGGGGTCTCCAGTCACCGTCCCCACACAGACCCACCATCGCTGCATGCCCCCATGGTGGGCACTGGTGAGAGATGCAACCGCTGCCGTGAGGGCCAGAGCCGCCAGCCCAAAATCAAGCGG